AGCAACAGCAAACTATATTTTACAGGCATTTCCATTTAAACGAATATATTTGACACATGAACACTCCACAGAACTCCTCACAAAATACAAAAGTAAAATTTTCTTATTTTGCAGTTTCATAGACTAAACTTTCTAAAGAAACTAAAAACTCCTATTTTTTAGGGATTTCCCTAATATTCCTATTTGCGATGGTTAATCGTCTTCACTTGTTTCACTTGAGCCCTATGCTGCAGTTGCTAATGGAAGATGTACACCCAAGCCCATACGCAGAACACTGCTCAGCTTTGGTAGGGTGTCACAAACATTAACAAAACCGCACTGTTACAAGGAGGTAAACGCCAAATAAGTTTTTCCTTTTAATACTAAATATATTTACCTGGTAACTACTCTAATTTGATCAGTTCGTATGCTCTGAAATCTCTTCCCCTCCCACCACCCCAGGATCAGCGTGAGAGTCTGCTTTCAAGAATGTTCCACCTACATCTGAAGGATTTTACTGTTATGCTTCATCACTGTTCTGCAGTATTTGATTCATAAACAGATACCAGAAAATGTTCAATAATATATTGACAGTAAGAAAATGTATTAGTATTCATTATACTAATATATAACAACATAAAGTGCATTAGCTGTAGCAATTGCTCCCCTATTATCCTTCAGAAAGTTGCATTTTATTCCTATTGTAAGGAAGAATCTACATGTGTTAATATATAGCATATATATAGAACATGCTTCCCTCTTTACACCTCAGTAAAAGAGGAAAAGAAGAGGAGGAAGAAAACTAAGCATGCATGGTTCAGTGCATAAAAATGAATTACATAAAACTGTAAATTTGGAGCACTGGTATAGCTGAAAGAAAAGCCAAGTCACCAGGCTGGAGTTCAGAATCAAACACACTGTGTTCCAGAAACAGAGCTTGTGTTCCAACTAAAAATTATGTGTCATGTGTTGGCCCTAGTTTTCAAGTATGACTGGAGTTTCTGATGGTCAAAACAGGACACCTTAAATATTTCTTTTTATAAAACTCTCACAACCTTTCTAATTTAAGTGGGTTTTGTTGTTTGTTTGGTCTTTTTTTGTAAATTATTATTAAAAATAACTGTGTTCCAAGCTCCATATTTCAAAGCATGAAGTGATTAGTTAGAAAAAAAGGAAAACCTGTCCCATAAGCTGCAATTGATCCTTTAGAAAGGAGGGAGGCATCTGTTTTCAAAATCCCAAATGAAACAGCAATTCAAAAAGACAACAAAAAAGTACAAATGTCCCTGAAGTACCCATAGACGCTTTATACTTTAAGATTAAGAACATGCTCGTCTAACAGAAATACTACAAGAATAAAGTCTGGTAATCTCACAATAAATATGGGAATTCCCCTCTATTCTAAAGAGAAACATCAAAACAAACATGCAAATATCGCCTCTCTTTAGGAAGACAGGCACACAAGAGAAGCAGAGGAATAGCAGCTAGTAAAGGATGATTTTAAATTGTTAAGGCCTTAGCATCCTATTAAATTCACAGGATGAGATTGTTAGAAGCTGAGAGTAAGTATGAAGATGAAACGGGAGACATTTAATTTAAAAAGCCTAGCACAAGACAGTAATTACCATGAGTTGAAAGAAATATGAAACCAAACCTCATGATGCCTGTGTCTGTGTACACCATTACACAGACATAAACTACAAAGGTACAGATGATTTACAATACAAGCATACAGAGGGACATTGCACAAATATAAATAAATAGCTTCAACGGTTACCCTGAGCATGTGAAGCTTGAAATGCTGTACAAAATTTTGTTAGTATAGACAGCTAGAAGGAAACCTAGAATATAAATAGGCAAATAGTATATTTTCTGTAAATACACAAATACTATACTTCGTGTAGCTTTCATTATTATTCCATTGTTCACATACATTTAAATTTAATAAAAACTTTTTCATTCTGTCCCGACACAGAAATTTAGGCAACAGAAAATGGACGGTTACTCCTATTCTATTCTGATCAAAGATAAGATCTCTCCTCTTTTCCTCACCAGTTAAATTTCATCTTCCCAGTTTTCTTCTTTATTTCACACAATGAACAGAAGAACAACAAATATGAGACAAAGTTAACCTTAATGCAAATTTTCTTGTATGTATAAAAAAGTAACGAACCGTTTTATTAGTATTAGCATATTTATGAGTTACTTTTATCCTCAATGTTATCTTTGTGCAGTGGTTGTCTGCAAACACTTTTAGCTGCTGGAAAAGTATATATGCTGGGAGATTTAAACTTACTTAAGTTTAGATAAGTAGAATTGTTACAGACAGTCAGTTAATGACCATCAAATTCAAAGATCCAAGGGAAGATACTGCTCAGGAAAGCATCAAATCTGAAAATTTGCACTTTTATTTATATTCTCTCATTTCATTAATACTCTCAAATAAAAGTTTTCTTAAGCCAAAAAAGGAATGCCAGTTTGGGCATTTATTATTAGCTATTATTAGCTTGAAAAGATTGGAACACAGGCCTCAGCTAAACCCACCCATGGGCCAATAACCGAAATGTACATTGCTGGTCCTTTTTTTATATTGGAAAAAGTATCAAGGCAAACAATGAAATAAACATTCACAATGACAGTGGGAGTCTAATGCAAAAGACTGTGCCAGGTGTAAATTTTTTCAAAGCGTGAAAATAAGGTCCAATGTGAGAAAAACAACATTTAAAATAGAGCTCTTTCTTCTACATTACACAAAACAGGACTGATTCACGGTGCAGATGAAAACTGTACACCAACACTTGGATTAACAGAGCTATAACACAGCTACTGAAACACTTTGGAAGTTATAAAAATCAGGAAACTTTGAAGGAGAAAAATAATAAGTAGAAGGAATGTTCTGCATATTATAAATACAACATATAGCAGCATGGATTTGAAAAAACTATTTGTCTCTACTCATCAGTAGAGAGATGGAGAATTCGTTTGTGGTTTGGCTTAAGTCCACTTCTCATCACTTTTCTGGTTATTCCTAATTTGTAAAAATACTTTACTACATTTCCCAGTACGGCATTTTTAAAGCTAAATGATTTCCTTCTGAAAATGCTTAAAGCTGAAGGTTTTGCCTGAATGCTGTAATTATTTGCCGCACACATTTAAAAAGCTGTCTGTTGATAATATATTTAAAAGTGCCATTAAATAAATTATTAGAAGTATACCTCTACACTGCAAAATGTATTTTAATATATTAAAAGCTATTATATACTTAAGAAGAAAGGAGCAAATGTTAATTCTACTCTCTTCTCAGTCTCAAATAAAGTTATCACTGATGTGTTCAGTTTCTATAATGGGAAGCACAAAAGATGTTTCACTACTACTCCAATAGTATATGAAACAAAGCACTTCAAGCTATAGGAGCTTCAGTGGATTTATTTCAAAAGCAACGTCTTTCCCTGACTGCTGACTGACAATCCTTTCAATCCTCATCTCATTTAAAACCAACCACTACAACAGGTGTGATTTATAATTACCTATGTCACACTCATGTCAAGAAAATTAACATAAAAAGTCTGCTCTGTTAACACTGGAGACATCACGAAGGGACTTACATAAAAGTAGAATCACTTGGTAAAAGAATAGGTGATACCAAAGAAGCGTCAAAATAAACTCTGTCATGTGC